CTACTACCTGGTTACTTGGAAGGCAGAGGCCTAAAAGCCCCCTTCAGGCATCTAGACAAATGCACAAGGGTGCAAACTGTGTGTAGGCACTGAGCCTTGTGCGCTGGCCCCACTTCCACCTGCATTATCAGGGGATTCCTGATTTGAAGAGGCCTCGGGCCACATTCAGCTGAGCAGCTAGAATGGGGGTGAGGAACCTTGTGGTGCACTTAATCTGTAAACCAAATTCAGACAGCAGATATGTGCTGAGATATTCTCTGTCTCCGCCCTACAACTATGGAAGTCTGTTTCCTCAGGGAGCTTGCCAGAGGCTTTGAAAGAGGTATCATAAGATTTATCTTTATTCCAGTTTATAAAGATAAATCTGGCTGGGTTAAGGTTTATGCCTTTGAAGGTAGGGGAAAAGAGGGGAAGCGATGTTAGCTTATTTTGCTTGGTCCTCCCTACCCCCATGTTTAAGGGATTATTTTGTATATGTGGAGTACATATGTGGCTAACCCAGTCCAAAGTCTGGCAATTCGTAAGAAATGTGAATATGAATAAATAAGGACACTCTTTGAATCAGTGCACAAATTTGAGTCAGACAGCAGAATGAACAGAAGCACCCTGCAAATGCAGCAAGGCTGCCTTATCATATCTTGAAGTGAAGCAATACACATTGCCATCTAAAGAAACTTTAATTCTAGGAGCAGGCCTTTAAGGCCATTAAATCCAGAGTCTAAAATTCCAAACCCTTCAACATTTCTCCGAAATGTTATTTAATAATAATAATACCCCACCCATCTGACTGGGTTGTCCCGGCCACTCTGGGCAACTTCCAACACATATAAAAACATAATAAAACATTAAACATTTAAAAAACCTCCCTATACAGGGCTGCTTTCAGATGTCTTCTCAAGGTTGTATAGTTACTTATCTCCTTGGCTCAGGGGTCACATAACTCCATACCCTCCAACATTTCTCCAGTGAAAATAGGGACATCCTAAGGGACGCGGGTGGCGCTGTGGGTTAAACCACAGAGCCTAGGACTTGCCGGTCAGAAGGTCGGCGGTTCGAATCCCTGCAATGGGGTGAGCTCCCGTTGCTCGGTCCCTGCTCCTGCCAACCTAGCAGTTCGAAAGCACGTCAAAGTGCAAGTAGATAAATAGGTACCGCTCCAGCGGGAAGGTAAATGGCGTTTCCGTGCGCTGCTCTGGTTCGCCAGAAGCGGCTTAGTCATGCTGGCCACATGACCCGGAAGCTGTACGCCGGCTCCCTCGGCCAATAAAGCGAGATGAGCACCGCAACCCCAGAGTCGGTCACGACTGGACCTAATGGTCAGGGGTCCCTTTACCTTTACCTTAAGGAAAAGTGGTTACATTCCGGGATCAAATCAGAAGCTGGGGTGGCTTCTATAAATTCAGGACTGTCCCTGGAAAATAGGGACACTTGGAGGGTCTGAAATTCCCTATCTGCACCATTTCTTATCATTACCACACTACAAAGGACTGTTGTGAGCAGCTGCGGCAATCACAGCAAGGAAACATAGGAAAATGCCTTATTCTGAGTCGGATTACTGGTCCATGTGGCTCACTATTGTCTACACTGATAGGCAGTGGCTCTCATCAGTTCTCTTTCAGCCCTACCTGGAGATGTTGGGAGTTGAACCTGGATCCCACAGCACTGTGCCATGTAGCTTTTAAAACCTGGAACCTTTTAATCACCTCCAGTGACAAAGTTTTGCAGAAACTCTTAGCACCAGAAGCAAACACAATTTTGCAGGCCCCCAGTAGGTCAACCTTCTTCTGAAAATAGCAGAAAATTAAAATCTAAATACAAAGAGACTGACCATAGCCCCGATCTGCAACCACTTAAAGACAGCATGCCGAGTGCCACAACGGAATCATCCGTGTTTGCTCAAGGAATATGGTTTCATAAAGTTGTACAATTTTATGGAGAGTTTAGAGAACTCTGTTTTGAGATTCGTGGCGAGGGGGAAAACCAAAAACAACAGAGCATTCATGCAGAGGCAACTGGCAGGCTTACTACATGCGTATTAGGTGTCTTCGGTTTTCTTGATTTCAGTCATTACAAATTCAAATAATAAATATTTGACCAAAAGGAAGCATCCTGTAATCATGCCATTTTACACACACACACACACACACACACACACACACACTTAAGAAAATCTCCCCCTCCCCCAGTGGTTCAATTTTTTTCAGTTATCTTGACATCTGCGATTTATATTCAGAGCTGGTATGGAAATATCCAACCTATTGGGTTTTTTTACGTGTTAGTATTTTGACCCCCCTCCCCCCATGTCTTTGTGCATATATGATCTTTAGTACTGGCAAATTCATTGTTAATCTTGTTCAGTGTCCAATGCAGCTATCACATTGCACATTTAAATGCAGCAGCTTAAATATATTTTTGTTCTTCCCTGGACCTTGTATAAATGAGAAGAGACGAAAATCTTTGAGCCTAACAACTTTTCATCCGGATTCTTTTAAAGGCACTTTCCATTATTCCACATTCTGCCCTCTTGATTTCCCTTTGCCGCCCATTTAATTCTCTCCCCTTCTATTCCCAGAGTGACCACCACTGGCGAATTGTTCCTCTCACTCTATAGCAGGCCATTGATGGCTGTGAGCAAATTCCACTAAATGTGTGTGCCTGCGTGCGCATTGAAAATATATCGTTTGCATTCTCAGAGCCCGATAGAAGGGCTTTGCCATTCTTGAACTGCTGCACATAGAAGGGAAAAAAAGGAGTTGAGTTAAACTTGAAAGGGCCACAGCCTTAGAAGTGGATTCTCCTGGCTCTATGATGTTTTCTTCTAAGGGTGTTTCCACACTAGACGTTTGCTGTGGAATTATCATGCTTTATTCATTCACTTTTTACAGGGCATCTACATGACATTGTCATCAAATCTTTGTCCTCCTGTGTTTCCCCTGCTGCTCCTTCTGTCATCGTCTTCTTCGTCTTCTTCTTTTAGACCACAAAAGAAAAGAAAACTCCAGCGTTATTTGAAAGAACAGTAGCTCAGTCTCTGCAGGTTTACATCACCTTCTTTTTCATATTAAAAATATTTAAAGTATATTTATACGATGTCTTGTAAAAATAAAATTTCTAGATGTGGAAAACTACTCTTAGCACCATTCTTCCATCTTTATTCAGAACTTGGTGTATGCAATGGACTTTTGGGTGAGCAAGACTATTGTTGTGTATCTACAGTTAATCACACCTTTCTTGTGTGGCTGTGTACACAATCGCATTTACTCTGCATCCAGTGTGCTCTTATCATTGGTTTGGGAAGCGGTGTACACAGTGCATACCTATACTATTATTTCTTATGCAAAGCTGCATTTTGATGTCCCTCCCACCAAACCAATTTCAATCCATGATGAGAAAAGGGACATCCTAGCTGTGTTTTGATCTGGTAATGTGTTCTTAGCCTTACTTTTCCAGTTTTATTAGCATGTCTTTTGTTTTTGTTCATTTCTCTCCTTTTTCATTTCACTTTTAATTTGTATATTACTATACACAAGGCGGTTTAGAAGCTGAAGAAACAGCAAAATATACAAAAAAAGACCACACACCTTATAACAATCTGCTTCAGTTCAAAAAAGTCATAATGAAAACATAACTTTAAAATAAACAACTCATATCAAATAAAGTAATATTCAATAATCTAGCAGAATATAGAATAATCTAGTAGAATATAATAGTATACAATAAAATTAAATATCACAAATAATAACTAAACAGAATTTCACTCTCAACAATCACAATAAATAATTACTAAATTAATCAATAAAAATAACGGCAAGTCCCAATGCATAAAATAATTCTTTTGACAAGGTATGTGCCACAGTGTTGATTATTTTAAAATGGCCGAAGACCCAGCAGACCAGGAATTTATCCTTGCCCTGGGTGCGGGGCTAAGTGCCACTGTTGTTCTTTTGGTCCCGCGTCTAGGGGAACGCCCTCTAATTCCTGCCACCATTGGGGGCAGGAGGACGTTCTGGCCTGCAATAGGCCAGTTCACAGAGGAGGCCCAGGGCCCGCCTGCAAAGCCGCCTGCCCGAGAAGGGGCAAACAGACTTGCTTTAATATTATATATTTATCTGCACAATAGAACTTAATTGAAAAAGCATTTTCATGCAAAATATAAAATTGGTTTTTCAATGACTTACCAGTCATTAGCATCCCTTTATTCAAAGCTTCTTTTTTTCAAAAAAAAATTGCAAGATACGGCAAGCAACGGATAAGAAGAAAATCTTGTTCTTTTCATTTCCATGGATGGTCTTGGTGAAATCAACTTCATGAAAGCATGGGTTGTATCTAATTCCATAAATAGACCATTGAAATTACTGGACAAGGCAAACTTTGGTTCATTCATTTCCATAGGTGTACATCGAGTAAAACCTTTTCCCGCTTCAGCATTGGTTTGCTGGGGGGAAATACAGCATTGGGCACTCTTGTTGCTGCTGAAAGCAGAACTACATACAGTTGGGCATGGCCAAAACAATAACAAAACCAAAGCAAAGTGCCAAGAATATTGTACTAAGGCTATTGGCGGGACATATTTGCATTACATGCCATCTCAGGTCATGGCCTGCAGTGAAAAGCTGCCAACTGGTGAGAGGGTAGACACTCCATATTGAATTGTTTCATCATCCAGCATGATGGCTCACTGATGAGTTGTACTAACAGATGAGTGAATGTCATGCACTGGGTGTTGTTGTTTAGTCATGTCCGACTCTTTGTGACCCCATGGACCAGAGCACGCCAGGCACTCCTGTCTTCCACTGCCTCCGCAGTTTGGTCAAACTGATGCTGGTAGCTTTGAGAACACTGTCCAACCATCTCGTCCTCTGTCGTCCCCTTCTCCTTGTGCCCTCCATCTTTCCCAACATCAGGGTGTTTTCCAAGGAGTCTTCTCTTCTCATGAGGTGACCAAAGTATTGGCCATGCACTGGGTGGTGTAACTTAACTCTTTGCCAGTGCTCACATACGTTGCACCCAACAGGGACATGCGCACCGCTGTCCTTTGCTACCTTTCGAAACAAATACGACTTCGTGCGTGCGCGCATCTGCATGCAGGATCGAAATCCTGTTATGTAAATTTGGAGGGAAAGGGAGAAAGGGAACTCGATGACAGCCATCATGTCAATAGCCCATTTGTTAATGCACCTGGAAAAAAGGAAAGAGAGAAAAGAAGATCTAGGACTGGTCAAGATGAAGCACTTATTTTATCAAGGCAGTGGTAAGCGTCCTTTTAATGGGACTCCCTAGAAGGCCAAAAGACTAAGCAGCCAAGATGCCTTTTTTGTCTAGTGAGTGCCACCGTTGCAGCAATCACAGAAGGGGCTGACATGTGTCTCGTGATTTTACCCCCCTCTGGCAGCTATCTCTCTTCTTCATCCTCCCTCACTTAATTGTGTCTTCTTAAAAGGATTGACAGTGTGACCTTGTTCAGCAAAAGTATAAGACATCGTTTCAATTGCCTTTCTTTCTTTCTTTCTTTCTTTCTTTCTCAAACCACTTAGATGACAAATTCCAGCAGCAAAGGGCAAGAGGAAAATGAAAATATTTCAGAGAGGGGAAAGATGGAAAATTAAACAGAAAATGCATAAAAATTTACGCTTATATTCATGCTTGCTACCTTGGGGAATTGTATTCATCCGGCTCTGCATTCAATTACTGTGCTGTTTCCATCCCTAGTGGCTGAAATATTGCCCTTCAATGAGATTATTTTTTTTTTTTTTGCATCAGTATTTAGGATTAGGGTAAACTACAAACAAACAAGCAATGGCCAAAATAATGAGCAACCTCAGCGTTGTTTATATTATTCCGAATGACTATGGCTGTGTACACATTGTCGTTTGCTCTTCATCCAGTGCATTCCCTCCGCTAGTTTCTGAAGTTGCATGCACAACCCTTATCGATCTTGTAGTTTCCTGAGAAATGCTGCTCTTTGGTGTGCGTTTTTCCACAAACCTGCTTCAACCCGACTAGAAAATTTAAGCCACAGTCACTTCACAGTTAAGCTAAGGGGTGTGCATTTGAGACGGCCATTGCACATGTGCAGATGACAGCTTCGTGAACAGGAGTTTGGGAGGGTGTTGCAGAGAAACTGCACAGGTAATGCACATCAAATGTCAATATCCCTTTCACAACATGGTGCAAATGTTACTTGAAACACAGTGGGGGAAAACAACCTTGCTGTGTTTTGAGTGTATGTAGCCTGTGTAAAGAAAGTTGTGGTTGTTAGCGCACAGTTGCGAAAAAGATTCCTTGTCAACAATGGGGTAGAAATTCCGAAGGAGCTCACAACAGCCAGTCATCTGTTTTCTGGATATTGTGCGCTCAAGCAAAGGCAATGCTGTTCCTTCTGTATCAAGCGTGAATTTCATATACAGTGGTACCTCGGGTTAAGTACTTAATTTGTTCCGGAGGTCCGTTCTTAACCTGAAACTGTCCTTAACCTGAAGCGCCACTTTAGCTAATGGGGCCTCCCACTGCTGCCGTGCTGTTGGAGCACATTTTCTGTTCTCATCCTGAAGCAAAGTTCTTAACCCAAGGTAATATTTCTGGGTTAGTGGAGTCTGTAACCTGAAGCGTCTGTAACCTGAAGCGTATGTAACCCGAGGTACTACTGTAATTCTCTGTGGGATGCTGGGGCAGATCCTTCAGTGGAATTAATTTCTCAACAGTCTATCTGTGCGAAAATGTACCGTCTTCAAAGATGGGCCAATATTTGCCCCAACGCCCCAAGCTGCTGTTTCTCATGTTCTGAGAACTTACCATCCTCTGTAACATTTCGTGAGCTGCTGGGATGTACCTCTTCAACCACTGGACCACATTGCTCAATATTGTCTGTGTTGGTTAGCAACAGGTCTCCAGGGTTTCAGGTAGCCCAACTTGGAGACGGTGGGAATTGAATCTGAGATCCTTTGGATGCAAATCAGCTGCACTTCCCCGCATGGGCCCACACAGACAGTTCAGCTCAGAACCTCCAAATTTAGAACTCCTTTTAGCATTTACAACCCCATTTGACAATCATCATAATTCTCACCTCTCCCCTGAAATGATATATTCCACATATATTTGCAGCATTGTGGCAAAGAACATCACCTTCCAAGACAGTGCATGTAGCCCTCATTTTGTCAGATGCTGTAGCATCCAGGCCCTCGAACGATGCTCTTTAGCCCACGAGACAAGGGGCTTCCTTGTCTCTCTCCCCTGCCAGCATACTTGAAATGAGATTCAACCCGCTCCGTTGCTTATTTCCTAGCCAGTCGCAATCAAGGGACAGAACAAAACCAGCAGTGGCTGGAGGTGGCAACGCAGAAGCTGAGCTGCTATATGTCACATGCCAATCTGTGTGCACCTGCTAATGAGGCTGACATGTTTGGACGAAGCAACCCAATTTGCATTTGCCGTGAAAGTGAGACATTAGCTGCATGAATACTAAGAGGGACAGATGTGTCCTAGCAAGATTGCCACCTCCAACGGCCTGCTGCGCTATCAACACCAGGGAGGCCGCCAGCCAGCCAGCCTGAGGAATGCTACCACCTAGCCAGGGAAGTGTCTAATGACAGTTCCAGGCAAAGCACAAAGAGATACAGATGCCTTTGAGGGCAGCTATGCCATCCTAGTTCATGGGCAACAGCAGCGGGATACAGACAGACAAATGTTTGACCTGCTTGTTGGAAATGATGGGTTTCCTCAGCAAGGAATGTCAAGGACATCCAACGGCACTGCCTAGAGTGCATGCTCATTGGTATTATGCTGTTGCTGTTGTTTATGCATTATTATTATTATTATTATTATTATTATTATTATTGATTTTCAATTTTATACATTTCAATAATTTTACAATAATTTAAACATTTTAAAACTCGACTTCCTTCCCCCTCTTTCTGCAGTTCCTTAAATTTATTATTTTTATTTTCTTCATATTCCAACTTAATTTATTCGTTTATTCATCTACTTTAAATATGTACTCTTATAAAACTGCAGGTTATTGCAATAACCATGCTAATGTTCTTATCTGTTTACAGTTTGTTTGTAAATATTCAATAAACCATTTCCATTCTTTTATAAAAAGTTTATCTTGATTTCTTATTCTTCTGATAAGTTTCGCCATTTCTGCATATTCCATAAGTTTTTGTATCCATTCTTCTTTCGTTGGAACTTCTTTCCATTTTTGGGCAAGTAACATTCTTGCTGCTGTAGTTGCATACATGAATATATTTTTAATGTTTCACGTTTTATTATGTTTTCATACATGCTGGAAGCCACCCAGAGTGGCTGGGGCAACCCGGTCAGGTGGGCAGGGTACCAATAATAAAATTGTTGTTGTTGTCATACATATTACACATAGATCTAGGACTAAGCTCTAGCCAGTAAGGTGTTGTTGTTTAGTCGTGTCCGACTCTTCGTGACCCCATGGACCAGAGCACGCCAGGCACTTCTGTCTTCCACTGCCTCCCGCAGTTTGGTCAGACTCATGTTTGTAGCTTCGAAGACACTATCCAACCATCTCGTCCTCTGTCGTCCCCTTCTCCTTGTGCCCTCCATCTTTCCCAACATCAGGGTCTTTTCCAGAGAGTCTTCTCTTCTCACGAGGTGGCCAAAGTATTGGAGCCTCAGCTTCACGATCTGTCCTTCCAGTGCGCACTCAGGGCTGATTTCCTTAAGAATGGAGAGGTTTGTTTTTCTTGCAGTCCATGGGACTCTCAAGAGTCTCCTCCAGCACCATAATTCAAAAGCATCAATTCCTCGGCGATCAGCCTTCTTTATGGTCCAGCTCTCACTTCCATACATCACTACTGGGAAAACCATGGCTTTTACTATACGGACCTTTGTTGGCAAGGTGATGTCTCTACTTTTTAAGATGCTGTCTAGGTTTGTCATTGCTTTCCTCCCAAGAAGCAGGCGTCTCTTAATTTCGTGGCTGCTGTCACCATCTGCAGTGATCATGGAGCCCAAGAAAGTAAAATCTCTCACTGCCTCTGTTATGTACTGAGTTGAATATGATCCAAACTGCAGCAGTCTGATTGGTCCTAGAACAATAGGATCCAAATTGCAGCAGTCTGATTGGTCCTAGAACAATGCAGCAGTATGATTGGTTGGCAGGAACCACCCAATCATGCTCCAGATATAAGTGAATCCACAACCTGATTGGCTTACAGTAGAATTCCAGAATTAGCCAATCATGTGCAGCCCATTGTGTAATGTATATAAAGCAGATACTTTGAGGGGACTTTCATTCATTCCTCCTCACCACTATGAGCTGAATAAAGAGCATGAAATCACTTTGCGACTCTGAGTATATTTCATTCTCTATCTCCCTCGCATTTTGCTTTCCTTCTCTCCCCTGCTATTTGTAAGGCCTCATTGGACAGCCATTTTGCTTTCTTGCATTTCCTTTTCATTGGGATGGTTTTCGTTGCTGCCTCCTGTATAATGTTGCGAGCCTCCGTCCATAGTTCTTCAGGCACTCTGTCCAGCAAATCTAAATCCTTAAACCTGTTCCTCACTTCCACTGTGTATTCATAAGGGATTTGATTTAGATTGTATCTTACCGGCCCAGTGGTTTTTCCTACTTTCTTCAGTTTAAGCTTGAATTTTGCTATAAGAAGCTGATCTGAGCCACAGTCAGCTCCAGGTCTTGTTTTTGCTGACTGTATTGAGCTTCTCCATCTTTGGCTGCAGAGAATATAATCAATCTGATTTCGATGCTGCCCATCTGGTGATGTCCACGTGTAGAGTCGGCTCTTGTGTTGTTGGAAAAGCGTATTTGTGATGACCAGCTTGTTCTCTTGACAGAACTCTATTAGCCTTTGCCCTGCTTCATTTTGCTCTCCAAGGCCAAACTTGCCAGTTGTTTCTTTTATCTCTTGGTTCCCTACTTTAGCATTCCAATCCCCTATAATGAGAAGAACATCCTTCTTTGGTGTCATTTCTATAAGGTGTTGTAAGTCTTCATAGAATTGGTCAATTTCAGTTTCTTCCGCACCAGTAGTTGGTGCATAAACTTGGATTACTGTTATGTTAAAAGGTCTGCCTTGGATTCGTATCGAGATCATTCTATCATTTTTGAGATTGCATCCCAGTACTGCTTTCGCCACTCTTTTGTTGACTATGAGGGCCACTCCATTTCTTTTGCGGGTTTCTTGCCCACA